GCCGTGCTCTCAAGGACTATCTTGTCAAGCAGGGTGTATCTCACGCCACCAGCTTTGAGGGGGGACGTGTGAGAGTACGACCGCTTATGCGAGCTATGCTTGCTTGCCTCTACTTTATTATGCTATTTCTAGCATAGGATAATCATATGCATGCATGAATTGCTTGATATCCTAGGCTAGGTGCTTTCCTATGTTTTATTATAGTTATAGCACCGAGCTAGGTTACGTGCACCGAATTCTGGCCTTTTCGGTTGCCACCGAATTGCCTTCTACCGAATTCGGTAAGGATCTGTTCGGGGACGCTACGCGACCCGCGGAACCTTCGCGTAACACCTGGTTACGGGGCTTTGTGTCGAGCCTATATATAGCCTCGTGTTGTACCCAGGTGATAATTCAATTCAATTCAATTCGATTCAATTACTATTCTCTTTTCTGAGCTCGATCCTAGATCCTCACATGCGGATCCTTCTGCGTTTTGGGGGTGGAAGCGCTTGTTCCGAGCTTTTTTCTTCCGCCGGATCACGTGGCTGTGCTTGTCTGTCCTATTATTATGCCAGCAAGGGCGTGGGAGGGTTGCAAGCATCATCGGTCATCGGCGCTTGCGAATGAAGAGCGCCCGCTGCACTTCCTGCACATGTGCTGATCCTTCCGCGTTTTAGGGTATGGAAGCCCTCGTTTTGAGCGTTTTTCTTCTGCCGGTCACGTGGCTGCACTTGTCTGGTCCTAATACCAAGCCAGCATGGGCGTGGGAGGGTTGCAAGCTGTATAAATCATCGGCGCTCGCGAATGAAGAACGTCCGCTGCACTTCTCGCACATGTGCAGATCATTCCGTGTTTTGGAGGTGGAAGAGCTCGTTACGAGCGTTTTCCTTCCGCCGGGTCACGTGGCTGCGCTTTTTGGTCCTATTACTAAGCCAGCACGGGCGGGGGAGGGTTGCAAGCTTCATCAGTCATCGGCGCTCACGAATGAAGAGCGGCCGCTGCACTTCCCGCATATGTGTGACAAAAGTTAGAAGAAGAAAGAGGGGATTGAACTAGCAAGAATGAGGATACAAATAGCAGACCCTAGAAGGGTTGTACTCGCTATAGAGCACCCCACTACAGGCTAGTACATAAGATAATATTCTGACACACCCCCATAGCCAAAGTGGGGTGTAATCAGCAGAGCAGGCAAAGTAGTACAAGCTCAGGGTGGATCACAATGTCACCACACAATCTGAGCACAAGTTCAAGAAGAAATAGTTTAGAGTTCACAATTATGAGCAAAGCTAGTGGTAGTCACAAACGGGCAAGTGAGGAGGAGGAGGGAGAGTGAGGGGAGAGGAGACAGGAGGCGACGGCTGAAGCTGCAGACACACGGACAACAGGAGGCAGACTGGCACAGCGGCTACCGGACAGCGCCCGGACTACAGGAGTAACAGGCCCCGCGGCTCAAATAGCGGCGGACGGGCAACGGACCCACGGGCGGCTGGCACAGCTGGCTACGACTGGGCTACCGGGACAGCGCCCCGGACTAAGGTGCTGCGGACGACAAGCCGGCAGCCTCCGCTCAACCTCCCGCAAACAGTCCACCCCCCTGATACACACCCACTGCTACCAACCGCTAGCTCTACTCCCACGCACCCCCCCTTAAACCCTAAACCCCAGTCTCCCACACAACCACCCCCCTCAGCGACAGCTGCAGCAGTGGGAGACGAAGGAGGAGAGGAGCAAGGGAGGAAGGCACACCGGCCACCCCATACCCGCCACCCCCACAGCTCGCCCCTCAGGTCGCCTTGACGGACGCCAGGGAAATGGCAGGGGGAAGGGGGGGGGGGGTGGGGGGGGGGCGGTGTTGGTGAAAGGGGCCCCACCACGGGCCTGGTTGGAGGGCGGGGCCGCGACAAGGGGCGGACCGCGTACGGTCGGGGGGGGCCGCGACGTAGGGCGGGGCCGCTTCGAGGGGCTGGGCCGCGACGCAGGGCGGGGCCGCTGACGAGGGCGGGGCCGCGCGAGGGCGGGGCCGCGACGGTCGGGGCCGCTTCGAGGGGCTGGGCCGCGACGCAGGGCGGGGCCGCGGACGTAGGGCCAGAAGCCCGCCGCGCGCCTCGGGGCGGCACAGCGGGCAAAGAAACGCCGCGCGCCTCGGGGCGCACGGCGGGGCAGAAAAACCGCCGCGCGCCTCGGGGCGCACGGCGGGAGGAAAAAGTAGCAGCGGAAGCGATGTGGTAACCCACCCACAGGATCGATCCAAGGGGATCGACCTGCTCTGATACCATGACAAAAGTTAGAAGAAGAAAGAGGGGATTGAACTAGCAAGAATGAGGATACAAATAGCAAACCCTAGAAGGGTTGTACTCGCTATAGAGCACCCCACTACAGGCTAGAACATAAGATAATATTCTGACAATGTGCGGATCCTTCCGCGTTTTGGGGGTGGAAGCGCTTGTTCCGAGCGATTTTCTTCCACTGGGTCACGTGGCTGCGCTGGTCTAGTCCTATTACCAAGCCAGCAAGGGCGCGGGAAGGTTGCAAGCATCATCGTTGATTGGCACTCGCGAATATAGAGCGCTCACTGCGCTTACTGCACATGTGCGGATCCTTCCGCGTTTTAGGAATGGAAGCGCTCGTTCAGAGCATTTTCTTCCACCGGGTCATGTGGCTGTGCTTGTCTGCTCCTAATACCTAGCCAGTAAGGGCATGGGAGGGTTGCAAGCATCATCAGTGATCGGCAGCTCGCGAATGAAGAGCGCCCGCCGCACTACCTGCCCATGTGCGGATCCTTCCGCGTTTTGGGGGTGGAAGCGCTCGTTCCGAGCGTTTTTCTTCCGCCGGGTCACGTGGGGTGCACTTGTCTGGTCCTATTACCAAGCCAGCAAGGGCGTGTGAGGGTCGCAAGCATCATCGGTCATCGGCGCTCGCGAATGAAGAGCGCCCACTACACTTCATACACATGTGCGGACCCTTCCGCGTTTTGGGGGTGGAAGCGCTCGTTCCGAGCATTTTCTTCCGCCAGGTCACGTGGCTGCGCTTGTCTGGTCCTATTACCAAGCCAGCAAGGGCGTGGGAGGGTTGCAAGCATCACCGGTCATCAGCGCTCGCGAATGAAGAGTGCTTGCTGCACTTCTTGCACATGTGCAGCTCCTATGCGTTTTGGGGGTGGAAGCGCTCGTTCCGGAAGTTTTCTTCCGCCGGGTCACATGGCTGCAATTTTCTGGTCCTATACCAAGCCAGCAAGGGCGTGGGAGGGTTGCAAGCATCATCGGTCATCGGCGCTCGCGAATGAAGAGCGCCCCGCTGCACTTCTGCACATGTGTGGATCCTTCCGCGTTTTGGGGATGGAAGCGCTCGTTTCCGAGTGTTTTCTTCAGTCGGGTTACGTGGCTGCACTTCTCTGGTCCTATTACCAAGCTTGCAAGGGTGTGTGAGGGTCGCAAGCATCATAGATCATCGGCGCTCGCGAATGAAGAGCACCCACTACACTTCCCTCACATGTGCGGATCCTTCCGCGTTTTTTGAAGCGCTCGTTCCGAGCGTTTTTCTTTCCGCCGGGTCACGTGGCTGCGCTTGTCTGGTTTAGGGTTGCATTACCAAGCCAGCAAGAGCGTGGGAGGGTTACAAGCATCATCGGTCATCGGCGCTCGCGAATGAAAAGCGCTAGCTGCTCTTCTTGCACATGTGCGGGTCCTTCCTCGTTTTGGGGGTGGAAGCGCTCCGTTCCGAGCGTTTTTTCTTCCGCTGGGACACGTGGCTGCACTTGTCTGGTCCTATTACCAAGCCAACAAGGGCATGGGAGGGTTGCAAGCATCACCGGTCATCAGCGCTCGCGAATGAAGAGTTCTCGCTGCACTTCCTGCACGTGTGCAGATCCTTACGCGTTTTGGGGGTGAAACGCTCGTTTGGAGTGTTTTTCTTCCGCCAAGTCACGTGGCTACGCTGGGTTAGTCCTATTACCAAGCCAGAAAGGGCGTGGGCGGGTTGCAAGAATCATCAGCATCGGCGCTCGCGAATGAAGAGTTCTCGCTGCACTTCCTCCACATGTGCGGATCCTTCCACGGTTTGGGGTGGAAGCGCTCGTTCCGAGCGTTTTCTTCCGCCAAGTCACGTGGCTGCGCTTATCTGGTCCCTATTACCAAGCCAGCAAGGGCGTGTGAGGTTTGCAAGCATCATCGGTCATCAGCACTCGCGAATGAAGAGCGCAAGCTGCCACTTCCTGCACATGTGCGGGTCCTTCCGCATTTTCGGGGTCGAAGCGCTCGTTCCGAGCGTTCTTCTTCCAACAGGGTAAAGTGGCTGCGCTTGTCTGCTCCTATTACCAAAACAACAAGGGAGTGGGAGGGTTGCAAGCATCGTCGGTCATCGGCGCTCGCGAATGAAGAGCTGCGGGACCTTCCGCGTTTTGGTGGTGGAAGCGCTCGTTCGGAGCATTTTTCTTCCGCCGGGTCACGTGGCTGCGCTTGTCTGGTCCTATTACCAAGCCAGCAAGGCCGTGGGAGGGTTTGCAAGCATCATCAGTGATCGACGCTGGCGAATAAAGAGCGTACGCTCCACTTCCTGCACATGTGCAGATCCTTCTGCGTTTTAGGGGTTGAAGAGCTCGTTCCGAGTGTTTTTGTTCCACTGGGTCACGTGGCTGCACTTGTGTAGACCTATTACCAAGCCAGCAAGGGCGTGGGAGGGTTGCAAGCAACATAGGTCATCTGCCCTCGCGAATGAAGAGCGCATGCTGCACTTCCTGCACATGTGTAGATCCTTCCGCGGTTTGGGGTAGGAAGCGCTCGTTCCGAGCTTGAGAATGATGGAAACCGGGAGAATGAGGCGGGTGATGGAAAGCGGGAGAATGTGGCGGGGTGATGGAAAGCGGGAGAATGGGATGGGGTGATGGAAAGCAGGAGAATGGGGTGGGGTGATAGAAGGAGGGAGAATGGGGAGGGGTGATGGAAGGAGGGAGAATGGGGTGGGGTGATGGAAGGAGGGAGAATGGGGTGGGGTGATCGAAAGCGGGAGAATGGGGCGGGGTGATGGCAAGCGGGAGAATGGGTCGGGTGATGAAAGGAGGGAGAATGGGGCGGGGTGATGGAAAGTGGAGAATGGGGCGGGGTGATGGAAGGAGGGAGAATGGGCGGGGTGATGGAAAGCGGGAGAATGGGGCGGGGGTGATGGAAAGCGGGAGAATGGGGCAGGGTGATGGAAAGCGGGAGAATGGGGCGGGGATGGAAAGCGGGAGAATAGGGCGGGGTGTAGAAAGCGGGAGAATGGGGCGGGGTGATGGAAAGCGGGAGAATGAGGCGGGGTGAGGGAAAGCGGGAGAATGGGGCGGGGTGATGGAAAGTAGGAGAATGGGGCGGGGTGATTGAAAGCGGGGAGAATGGGGCGGGGGTGATTGAAAGCGGGAAAATGGGGCGGGGTGATGGGAAGCGGGAGAATGGGGCGGGGTGATGGAAAGCGGGAGAATGGGGCGGGGTGATGGAAGGAGGGAGAATGGGGCGGGGTGATGGAAGGAGGGAGAATGGGGCGGGGTGATGGAAAGCGGGAGGAATGGGGCGGGGTGATGGAAAGCGGGAGAATGGGGCGGGGTGATGCCGTCCTTCCTAGCGCCCTCATGCGCCTCGCTCCTAGTGCGCCCTCGTGCGCCCTTCGTTTTCTCCTCAGCTGCCTGTGTGCAGCCGCTAGAAGCCCCGCCAGCGCGGCGGCCCTTTTTTTTTAAGGTCGCGTCGCCCGCTAGTTGCCCGCGCGCGGCCTGTTTCTTAGGGGCGCGGCGCGCTAGCTGCTCGCGCCGCCCTCTCTGGCCTCGCGCGGCCCTTAGCGCGGCCCGTCAGCCGCTCGTCGACCACCCCGTGCCGCCGCCGCGTCTCCTTAGGCCGCCGCCCGTGCTAGCCCGCCGCCCGCACGATCACCGCCGCCCGCACGAACGCTAGCAGCGGCCCACGCGCAGCTGCACCCTAGGCGCCGCTGCCACCGTCGATAGGCCCGCCGTCGCGCCGCCCTCCCTGCCCGAGTCGCGCCGCCTTGACCGAGCCGCGCCGCCCGAACCGCGCCGCCCTGACTGAGCCGCGCCGCCCCACTTGCAGCACCTACTGTTGCATCTGCTACTCCTACTTCTAGTACTGTTTCTACTGCTACTGCTACTGCTACTTCTGCTCCTGCCACTATGGCCAGTCCCACTGTTCTCACCTTTGACGCCGAGGGCCGCCCGATTAAGTTCGATGTCTGGCTTGATTACCTCCACCTGTTCCTCCAGATCACTGCCAAGGACGATGTCTCACTGTACGACCACACGTCAGGCGCTGCTCCCGCACCTCCCGCTACTGCTGACAGTACTGCTTGCTCCCCAGTGGCAGACTCGTGATGCTCACGCCCGCCTAGCCGTTCGCAGTCACCTGCCGGTAGATGAGCGCGAGCACTTCGGCCAGCATAAGACCGCTAAGGAGCTGTACGACGCAGTAGTCGCGCGCTACTCCTCCCCTGCCACTGCTACTATATGCCGTCTCTCACTGCCCTACCTCTTCCCCGACCTGTCCGCCTTTACCACTGTAGCTGACCTCATCACCCACCTCCGTACCAGTGACCTCCGCTACCGTGCCGCACTCCCCCCCGACTTCCTCGCTAAGAACCCCCCCCCCCCCCCCGATGTACCTCACACTGTACCACCTTGTCACGCGCCTCCCCGACTCCCTTCGCACAGTCAGGGACCACTTTCTAGCCCTCTCCCCCCACTGACCTCACTGTCGACCTCCTCAAGAAGGAACTCCTAGCAGCTGAGAAGAGCATTGTAGCTGTAGGTGCCTCTCGTGGCGACCCTCGCGCCCCCTTCTTCGAGGGGTGCTCTCCCGTCCCCCTCCTTCCCTCCATTGCCTCTGCTGCTGCTGTCGACTTCCTCGGAGCTGAGGGGGTCGGGGCTGCGTCTGCTCCTAGTGGGAGGAGCAAGGGCGGGCAGGGGCAAGGGGGGCAGGGGTGGTGGAGGTGGAGGCGGGGGCGGCGGCGGTGGAGGGGGGTGGAGGGGGCGGGGGCGGTGGAGGAGGTGGGAGTGGCGCGGGTGGTGGGGGGGTCGGTGGCGGCACAGGGGGTGGTGGAGGCGGCGGCGGTGGAGGTGGTGAAAGTGGTTGTGCCAGTAGTGGCAGCGGTGGAGCGGGTGGCAGGCGCGGTGGAGCGGTACAGCGGGGGGGTTTGGCGGTGGCCAGAGGCAGCAACAGCAGCGTCCCGGTGAGACTCCCTCGCCCCAGCAGCTCCGTGAGTGGTACTCTCAGCGTGGGGGGTCTGGGGGTGGGGGTACTTGCCCCGTACGTTATCCGCACAAGTGACCGCACTGGCCAGACTTGTGGGAGGTTTCACACGGCACAGCGCTGCTTCTTTTGCCTCGACAACGCCTGGCGCGAGCAGTTCCCTGACGCCTCTGAGCTGCCCCGCTGGGCTGATCTGCTTAAGAAGGGAATTGATATCTTTGCTCTTGATTATGATGCTATTCTTGCTACTATGTATGCATTGACTATTAGTGTTGAGGCTGACTGTTATTTGAGTGTACCGCCCGACCCAGGTATTGAGACCGGTGAGGCTGCAGCTCTAGGTGCTAGTGCGTCTGCTGCTCCAGGTCTTGGTGAGGCTGCTGCCCTAGGTGCTAGTGCGTCTGTGTCTGCTGGTACCGCACCTACTGAGGCACTTCACACCTTTGTGGAGATTAACTCTACAACGGTAGTGAGCTAGACTACAGGGGTTGGCACGAACTACTAGAGGTGATCTTAGCTTTGCTTAGTTCCTTAGTGTTTGCACATTCACGGAAGAATTTGGCAAGAGTTTTCACTAGCAAAGTTGGAATTCCAGAATAATCAAGAAGCAATGACAACAATGACTACATCAGGCACCTAGCAACCCTGCAGCCAGCCTGGTCGACCGCCAGCGCAGCTCGGTCGACCGCCTGCCAGCATTGCGTAGAGGAGCCGCGCCAGCACTGCAGAAGGGCGACCTGCCAACAAAGCAGGTCGACGGCGTGCCCCGTAGAAACACAGCAGTGCGCGCGCTCACAGGTGTGCGCAGACGACTGGCCCGACTTGCCTCGTTGGGCATCCGTCGGCTGTTTGTCTGCGCCTGACGAGCCACATCGACTTCGGGATACCAGCCCGAAGTTGCCTGCGCCATCGCGATCTCGACGACGTTCGCGTGCCTCCGCAGAACTCGTCGAGCAGGTTACCCGGTCGACCTGGTCGACCCCTGGTGCTCTGGTCGACTCCCAGGTGCCTCCCGTCGACCACTGGGTCCCTCTGGTCGACCACCGGGCGCTCCTGGTCGACCACACCTCCCGTCAAGCTACCCCTTGGTCGACGGACCCCTTCCGTCGACCAGAACTGCTCTGTCGACCTCCCGGTCGAACTGCAGTTCGACGGGATGCTCCGTTGTCCTCCCGGTCGAGCTGCAATTCGACGGGACGCTCCGTTGACCTCCTGGTCGAGCTGCAGTTCGACGGGATGCTCCATAGACCTCCCCGTCGAACTGTAGGTCGACGGACTGCTTCGTCGACCTCCCGGACGGCTCACCCGTCGCCCAGGCCAGTCAGGTGCAGCTGTCGAGCATCCTGGTCGACAGCAACACCACAGTGGTCCGCTGCAGCTCGACGTAACCTGTCGAGCAGCTATCCCACTGTGAGCAGTCGGCTGCTACTTCCGTACATCCGACCAAGTTGTCGGCGTTTGCCCAAGCGAGGGCGGGGCCAACACTTCATTCCCGTTAACACTCCCCTGCCGCGCTCACGCTTGGGCCTCCAGCCCTCACGGCAGTACTCCACGGAGAGAACTCGTCCTCGGCGTGCACCCCACACACAGCACGCCGTCACTGCACCAGCCGTGCAGAAGGGCACGGCACCTACTGCTGCACCTCGTCGTCGCCGTCGCCGACGTCGACCAGACGAACTTGTCCGATGGCGACAGAGCACCGGTGAAAGCCGGAAAATGCAGCGCCTTCGTCAGGAAATCCGCCGGCTGCTCGGTGGTCGGGATGTAGTTCAGCACAAATTTCCCGCGCCTCACCATGTGCTGCAGCCACGCGTAGCGTCGTTCCATGTGCTTGAGGTTGCCCGTTAGCCCCAAGCCCTCAGCGACAGTGATTGCCGACTTGTTGTCGACGCGGAGGATGGTCGGCTTCCCAGCATCGAGCAGCTTGAATTCCGCAAGGAGGAAGCGAAGTCGACGGCCCTCCTTGCCGGCATCTGTGGCCGCCACGTACTCCGACTCGGTCGATGATAATGTCGCGCACTTGATGCGCGAGCTCGACCAGGAGATGGCGGCCCCTCCATAGACGAACATGTAGCCTCCCGTGCTCGTCCGGTTCTGCTTGTCGCCCGCGTCGTCGGCATCGGCGTAGCCGATCAGCTCCAACGATTCTGGTCCACCGCCGAACTCCAGGGCGGTGTCGCGGGTGTCGGCGAGGAAGGCGACGGCAACAGTCGACCTCACGCCAATGTTGGTCGCTCCTCACCGTGAGGCCGCTCCCTAGCTTGCTGCAGGCGAATGCAATGTCCGGCCTCGTCGTCGTCGCCGCGAACTGCAGCGAGCCGACCTTCTGTCGGTACTCCTCCTCTTCGCGCTCCTGAGCCTCCTCGTCGTCGAACGTCAGCTGAGCGTAGGCGTCGACCGAGACTGGCGTCTTCGGGACTCGACCGCCCTGCTCCTCGTCGACGAAGCGCCTGCGCAGCTTGTCGGCGTAGCCCTGCTGGTGCAGCCACAACTTCCTGGCCGGCCTGTCGCGCACGATCTCCAGCCCAAGGTACTTCTCCACCGGCGAGATCTCACGCAATTCGAAGGCGGCCTCCAGCAGCTCCTTCAGCTCCTGCAGCATCGCGGTGCTGCTGCTAGCGGCGAGCAGGTCGTCGACGTAGACCAAGACCCAACAGGTCACACCGTCGTCGCTAGTCTTGAAGTAGAGCGCCTCGTCAACCTGGCTCTTCTTCCAGCCAGCGCCCAGCAGCACACCATCAAGAGCCGTGTACCACAGCAGCGGCGACTGCTTCAGCCCGTAGAGGCTTTTCAGCAGCTTACACACCCGGCCGGTCCCGTCGTCGAAGTAGTCCGGCTGGTACATGTAGAGCACCCTGTCGAGCTTGCTCTGCAGAAAAGCGTTCTTCATGTCGAGCTGCATCAGGTTGAGGTCGAGGACGGCGACGATGCTGAGGAAGATCCTCAGCGTGACGTAGCTGCTCACCGGTGAGTACGTCTCGTCGTAGTCGGCGCCGTACACCTGCGTGAAGCCCTTTTACGACCAGCCTCGCCTTCTCGCGCTCGACGGTGTCGTCGATGTGGTACTTGGTCGTCAGCACCCATCGGTTCTTCATAATGTTCACCCCGCATGGGCGTTCAACCAGCTCCCAAGTCCCCATAGCGATGAGGCTACGGATTTCTTCTTCCATGGCGGCCTTCACCGCCTCGCCCTTCCAGCTCGACAGCGCCTCATTCACCGTCATCGTGGCAATGTCCCAGCGGTGTTCGGGGTCAGCATGCACGTCGGGGTCGAGCTCCGACAGGTCTTCATCCTCCTCGGCATCGTCGTACAGCAAGTCGTCGTCGACCTCGTCGTACACCGTGGTGAAGGCAGCTGGCGGTAGGCAGGCGTGGAAGCTCAACCGCTCCGGCGGCCGTCGAGCTCGACCTGAGCGTCGCAGCTCAGGCTTCGTGATCGGCACTTCCATCACGTCGCTGTCGGTGGACTCCTCACCCGCCTACTGCTCCCCTTTCTCGTCGACGAGAACGTCATCGACCAGCTGCTTCGACCCTTCGACCGGCTGTTCGTCTGCTGCTGCCTTCGACAACTCTCCTGTCGGCCGATCCGACTGCTGCTCCCCTGTCGAGTGTACCCCTGTCGTTGCCTCCTGTTCGACCGGCTCCCCTGTCTGGTGCTCCCCTGTCGTCGACGGCTTCCCATCCTAGTCGACGAGCTTGGCGCCTTGTCGACCGCCGGCGATGCCATGGGCCGGCGCCACAGGCGACGCCTCAAGGCTCCCCTCATCGACGGTGGGCGACACAGGTGCCGACCCAGGCCGATCTGCGACGGGGAACGGAGGAGCAAAGACAGGGGAAGGAGAAAGAGCCTCCACAACAGCCTCATCACCGGGTCCGTCGACTTCGGCGAGCAACCGAACCGGCGCTGTAGATGTATCCGTTGGCGGGTGCGCCTGCGTCCGCTGCGACGCCGGCCCATACTTCGCCTTCCACACCTCCAGCGAGAGCGTCTCGTAGAAGATCACCTCGACCGACGTGACCACCTTGTTGTCAGTCAGGTCGAGCACTTCCCAGCCCTTGCTTGCTGGCGACACACCCAGGTGAAGTCCCGAGCGAGCCTTCGGCGCCAGCTTCCCACCACGCTGCTGCTCGGGAATCATGAACTGCACCATGCAGCCCCACACCCGCGCCAGCGTAAGGTCGGGCTTCTGCCCGGTCAGCAGCTGGTACGGAGTCGTCCCCGGCGGCGTCGTCAACCGCTCCAAGCAGTTGCGCACCCAGACAGCTTATCGTAGAGCAAGGTGCCACCAATGGTGCTGCACGCCCATGTGCAGCAACATCGTCCGCACGGACTCGACGGCCGTGCGCATCTCCCGCTCAGCCATGCCATTCTGCTGCGGAGTGTAGGGGCACGTCAGGTCGTGGACGATGCCCTTCCCGTCGACGAAGTCGGTGAACGCCTTCCCGAGGAACTCCCCTCCTCAATCGGAGCGAAGCGACAGCACCGACTTCTTCGTCTGCCGTTCCACCAGCACGAGCCACCGCTGGAACTCCCGCAGCACATCGCTCTTCTTGGCGACCGGCATTGACCATACAAATCGAGTATGGCGATCCTTTAACAGCAGGAAGTACAGGCTGCCATCCTTGGCAGCCACTCGAAATGGCCCGCACAAGTCAATGTGCACGACAGCCAGCGCCTCCGCTGCATCCGAGCCCGTGGCAGGGAAGATGTGGCGCGCCAGCTTTCCTCCGACGCACGAGACACATGGCGGGTCTGCTCCGGTTGACAGCGTGATGTCGAGCCCAGCAGCAACATCATGCTTCGCCGAGCTCTTGATCGTGTCGACGCTGACGTGGGCAAGCCGCGCATGCATTCTATCGGGGGTCGTCTTCGTCGCCGAGACGATCGTCCGCAGAGCCACCACCTCGGTCGACTGCGACTGCGTCGAGCAGGGGCGAAGGTCGGTGCAGAGGACTCGTCCGGTGTAGCGTGCTCGACCGAGCACCTCTCCAGTCGCGGCGACGAGCAGCATCTCATCGCCATCGCCCTGCAGTAGCACGCCGCTCTCCTTCAGCTGGCCAGCAGACAACAGGTTCGCCTGAACACCCGGAACGTAGAGCACGTCGGGGATGAGCACCCGCTTCCCGGCCTCCCCTTGCAGAGCAACAGTTCCACGACCCTCGACAGATTGCAATGCCCCGTTGAACCCACGCACGTGCTTCACTCCGTCGCTCGGCCTCATATTGACGAAGACCGATTTCGTCCCCATCAGGTGGTGGGAGCACCCGCTGTCGAGCAGCACCGCCATCGGGTTGGCCTGCACAGCTGCTGCCACCGCCTGGAAGTCCTCGCCAGCCTCCGGTGCTAGCGAGACCGTCGGCTCCACCACGCCGACCATCGAGCACGACGCCTCCCCGTCGCCTCGGCTCTTGCCGCTGGAGCTGTCGACGTCCTTCGTCGAGAACGTTTTCTTCGACGCTTGCTTCTCCTTGCGCGGCTTTTCAACTCGACGGGGGCGACGACTGGCCGATCGACCGTGGCCTTCCTTGTTGTCGTCCTCGTCGCTGTCATCGCGGTCGGGGCATTCGAAGGAGAGATGGTCGGGGTCGCCGCAGACCCAGCACTCCCGCCGTCGACCACCACCTCGTCGACCCTTGTCCCGCGTCGACCTCTTCTCGTCGACGTCCTTTGTCGACCGCCCACTTCCGCTACCACCTCCGCCTTGTTTCCCGCGCTGCTCCTGCTGATAATTTGGCTTCGTCGGTGCAGCGTAACTCGCCTGCGGAAGGAACTCCGTGGGCTGTTCTGCCTCCTGCATCGCCTCATCCTGGAGAATGTAGGTGGTGATGGAGTCCTCGTCGAGGGACTCACGAGTGCCGGGCACCATCATCATCCTCTTCATGAGATTGTAGCTGCGCGGCAAGCCCTTGACGATGTGGGTGATGTAGGACGCCGTCGAGTATTCGGCGCCCGCCATTCGCATCTCAGCCAGGATCCGTCGAGCACGGTTGCAGTAATCCGTCGCCGACTCCTGCTCGCCCATCCGAATGTGAGTCATCTTCTCCTCCAGCTGCCCGATGTACAGGTCGTCCCTGACCTGGTACGTCGATATGATGAAGCGCCATGCCTGGTGACCAGCATCCAGTCGCTCTCGACAGCTCCTGAGCGCCAGCTGTACCACCGGCGAGCAGCACCTCGAGATGACCATGAAGGTGAGCAGGTGAGCAGAACGAAACTCCCCGCGCAGCCCGACATCCTCCTCGGGCGGAATTGGCACAGTGCCGTCGGCGAAGCCCTTCAGCCCGGCGACCTCCAGCTGAGGTTCGATCGACTCCCTCCAGGTGATGAGGTCCCGTCGACCTTGCAGCGGAGCGACGGTGATCCGATCCGGCGAAAACTTGAAGTAGCCATACGCCGGTGCAATCCCGCCCGCAGTCACATGCGTCGTCGCCGAGAGCCCGCCACCACTTCGTAGAGGAGAGCGACGTCGAACATCGACGTCGGCGTGCGAGCTGCCTGCAGCCGCCGTCGACCGCTGCACTCGCGCCTGGATTCCGTCGACACCACCGTCGACCTTGATCACTCCTCTATGCCTCGTGCCTTCACTGCCGCTGACTCGTGCACCACCGTCGACCTCGTCGTCGACGCCACCTTCGTTGCGCACCGGTCGAGGAGAAGCAGGACGGGAAGGGTGTTCCGTCGCCCACTGCGACCGGATGCCCAACTCGGCGATCACTAAGGGGATCGTCCCGTACTCGCCATTTGCGTGGCGTCTCCTCGCGTCAGCCAAACGTGCCTCCAAAGTGTCCGCTACACCCGTATCAACTACGGGGTCGACCATGGCGACTATCGCTGCTGCCGGCCTACGAACGACTTAGTAGGTGCAAAAGTCGGCTCCTATCTGAAGGTCGCGTGTTCGATCCACGCTCACCGCACCATGTGGAGATTAACTCTACAACGGTAGTGAGCTAGACTACAGGGGTTGGCACGAACTACTAGAGGTGATCTTAGCTTTGCTTAGTTCCTTAGTGTTTGCATATTCACGGAAGAATTTGGCAAGAGTTTTCACTAGCAAAGTTGGAATTCCGGAATAATCAAGAAGCAATGACAACAATGACTACATCAGGCACCTAGCAACCCTGCAGCCAGCCTGGTCGACCGCCAGCGCAGCTCGGTCGACCGCCCGCCAGCATTGCGTAGAGGAGCCGCGCCAGCACTGCAGAAGGGCGACCTGCCAACAAAGCAGGTCGACGGCGTGCCCCGTAGAACACAGCAGTGCGCGCGCTCACAGGTGTGCGCAGACGATTGGCCCGACTTGCCTCGTTGGGCATCCGTCGGCTGTTTGTCTGCGCCTGACGAGCCACATCGACTTTGGGATACCAGCCCGAAGTCGCCTGCGCCATCGCGATCTCGACGACGTTCGCGTGCCTCCGCAGAACTCGTCGAGCAGGTTACCCGGTCGACCTGGTCGACCCCTGGTGCTCTGGTCGACTCCCAGGTGCCTCCCGTCGACCACTGGGTCCCTCTAGTCGACCACCGGGCGCTCCTGGTCGACCACACCTCCCGTCAAGCTACCCCTTGGTCGACGGACCCCTTCCGTCAACCAGAACTGCTCTGTCGACCTCCCGGTCGAACTGCAGTTCGACGGGATGCTCCGTTGTCCTCCCGGTCGAGCTGCAATTCGACGGGACGCTCCGTTGACCTCCCGGTCGAGCTGCAATTCGACGGGATGCTCCATAGACCTCCCCGTCGAACTGTAGGTCGACGGACTGCTTCGTCGACCTCCCGGACGGCTCACCCGTTGCCCAGGCCAGTCAGGTGCAGCTGTCGAGCATCCTGGTCGACAGCAACACCACAGTGGTCCGCTGCAGCTCGACGTAACCTGTCGAGCAGCTATCCCACTGTGAGCAGTCGGCTGCTACTTCCGTACATCCGACCAAGTTGTCGGCGTTGCCCAAGCGAGGGCGGGGCCAACACTTCATTCCCGTTAACAACCTTCACACTGGACTCAGGTGCTTCCCGCCGTTTCTTTCGCGACCGCACTGCCCTAGAGCAACTCCCTAGACCGGTTGCTGTCTCTCTGGCTGACCCCTCAGGGGGTCCGGTCCTTGCGACCTCCACCACTGCCCTCCCTTGTCCTGCTGTCCCGTCTGGCACGCTGTCGGGCCTCTACCTCCCCTCGTTCTCTACGAACTTGGTGGCGGGTTCCGCGCTCCAGGACGCGGGTGTTCACCAGTTCACCCCGGCCTACGAGCGTGTGACGCACTGCACGTGTGCCCGGACGGGCCGCCACCTAGCTACCTTTACTCGGCAGCCGGGGTCGGACTTGTACACCCTGACCACTGAGTCCCCTCAGGTAGCTGCGTCTGCGTCTGCGTCAGGTCAGCTGTCGGCCCCCTGCTCGTGTCGCTCCCTGTCGCACAGGACGGTCCTCTGGCACCACCGCCTTGGTCACCCGTTAGTGCAGCGCCTTCGCGGCATGCACTCCAGGTTCCTTGTCTCTGGTCTTCCCAGAGTTCTCCCTCCCCTCCCACCCTCGCCTGCTCCTCCCTGTCTTCCCTGTGTCCACGGGCGGCAATGTGCCGCTCCTCACTCCTCCTCGTTCCCTCCCACAGAGGCTCCCCTGTAGACTCTTCACCTGGACGTGTGGGGCCCCGCCCGTGTCCGGGGACAGGGCCACGAGCGGTACTTTCTGCTGGTCGTCGACGACTACACGCGCTACACCACAGTCTTCCCCTTGCGTACCAAGGGTGAGGTCCCTGATGTCTTGATCCCTTGGATCCGTGCTGCTCGTCTCCAGCTCCGCCAGCGGTTCCAGTCGGACTTTCCTGTCCTACGTCTGCACTCTGACAGAGGTGGCGAGTTTTCCTCTGACCTCTTGGCAGCCTACTGTGCTGAGCACGGCATCCGCCAGACGCTCACTCTCCCGGCCTCTCCGCAGCAGAATGGGGCTGCTGAGCGCCGCATTGGTCTTGTCATGGAGGTCGCTCGTACCTCCATGATCCATGCGGCTGCCCCCCATTTCCTGTGGCCGTTTGCAGTGTAGTACGCAGCGCATCAGCTCAACCTCTGGCCCCGTGTCTCCGTTCCGGAGACCTCGCCTACCCTGCGTTGGTCGGGGGAGGTTGGCGACGCGTTGGTGTTCCGAGTCTGGGGATGTCGAGCCTTTGTCCGCGACACGTCCGCGGACAAACTTTCCTCCCGTGGAGTTCCCTGTGTCTTCCTGGGCTTTGTCCCTGATGCGCCTGGCTGGCGGTTTTACCACCCCACCTCGCGCCGTGTCTTCACCTCTCAGGACGTCACCTTCGACGAGCCGGTACCCTTTTACCGTCTCTTCCCCTACCGCACTGCCCCGCTCCCCCCCCCCGCCGCTTTTCCTCACCCCAGGTGTCCCGTCGGTAGACCCCCTCCCCCCTCACGGTGCTGCTCCCTCAGGTGTTTCCCAGGTAGACCCGGTCGACCGTGTCGAGGTAGCTGTTGACTCGGGTCCTGTGCGAGGTACTGAGTGTGCTGAGCCTGGTGGTGCTGGGTCTGGGGGCACTGAGACTAGGGGTGCTGAGCCTGGGGGTGCGGAGACTAGAGGTGCTGGGCCTGGGGGTGCTGAGACTTTGGGTGCTGAGCCTGGAGGTGCTGAGACTGGGGGTGCTGTGACTGGGGGCACTGAGACTGGAGGTGCTGAGACTGGGGGTGCTGAGACTAGGGGTGCTGAGCCTGGTGGCGCTCCCTCCTCACAGCAGCTGCGTGAGTGGTACTCTCAGCGCTACAGCCTTCGTCGTGGCGCTGCTAGAGCTGGGGAGTCTGCTGGCGTCGGGGCTGGTGGCCTCGCAGGTGCAGTGTCGCAGCCACAGCCTCCCTGCCCTCAGCGGCTACGTGAGTGGTACGCTCGGCGCTGTAGCCTCAGGAGTGGAGCTCCTAGCATTGAGGTACCGCCTGCTGGAGGTTTTGCTAACCCTGGTTCTGCTGGAGGTGCTGCTGGTGCTACTGGAGGTCCTAGAGGTACTGCTGGTACTGCTGGAGGTCCTGGAGCGGCTGGAGGTGCTGCTGGTGCTGCTGGACGCCCTAGAGCTATTGGAGGTGCTGCTGGTGCTGTCTCTGCTCCTTCTGGGGGCGCTTCACGGCCGCGGGCGTACTTTGTTCCGCTCCTTCAGCAGGTTCTTGGTCAGCCGCCTCCTCCTAGTCCTCCTCCCTCCTTAGAGTGTCCTCCGCCTGTCCAGTCACAGTCCCTGCTCCCGCCTGCCTCGCCACTTCCTGGTCCTTCTCCCTACACTGGTCCGACAGGCGGTCTTACAGAGCGTTGTGAGCCTGAGTCTCGTCCTGTGTCGCCTGTGTCACCTGCTTGTGCTACTCGCACTGGTCACCGTGGTCCGAGTGAGCGTCCTCCACCTGTGCCTGGCACACACTTTATGACTCTGCGTCCTTCCACTCCTCCACAGCGTGTCCCTCTGCCGTCTACTCCTGAGTCCTCTCTTCCTGTCCTTGCTGACTGTGAGTCTGACTCTCTTCGTGCTGCCAGTCCTACTCTCACGCGTCTCCTAGCCACTGCTGTCACAGACCCTTCCTTTGAGTCTGCTGCTGCGTCTGCCCTAGTTGCTGAGCTTGTCGACTTTGCTGCTCACTATCGTCTAGACTACGCTGCCAGTCTTGTTGCTGAGTCATAGTCTGTCTGTCCTCCGTCCATCGGGGGTGAGTGTGCTCTAGGCACGGACGTCCTTGAGGACAGACAGGAGGACCTTGAGTGTCTTGCAGCCGCTGCGCCTCATCTCGTGTCCATGCTGATTGCCCCTGAGGGAGACCCGGATGCTCCAGACATCACGACCCCGCGCTCTTACACTGAGGCGATCGCGGGTGAGTGCTCCTCTCAGTGGCAGTCAGCCATGGATGCAGAGATGGCATCCTAGAAGTCCACTGACACTTACGTTGACGAGGTTCCCCCACCTGGGGCGAACATCGTCAGTGGCATGTGGATTTTCAGGGTGAAGCGGTTGCCGGGTTCTCCGCCTGTCTTCATGGCTCGTTACGTGGCTCGAGGCTTCAGTCAGCGACAGGGAGTAAACTTCTTTCAGACCTTCTCTCCCACCCCGAAGATGACCACTCTTCGGGTGCTACTGCACGTTGCTGCTCAGCGTGACTACGAACTTCACTCTCTTGACTTCAGCACAGCTTTCTTGCAGGGCAGCGTGCACGAGGAGATCTGGCTGCGCCGCCCTCCTGGCTTCACTGGGTTGTTTCCTCCTGGTACCCAATGGAGCCTCCGGTGGCCAGTCTACGGTCTCCGCCAGGCGCCACGTGAGTGGCACGACACACTGAGGACTACTCTTGCGGCACTTGGGTTTGCGCCCTCTACTGCTAACCCGTCGTTGTTTCTGCGCACTGACACTTCGCTGTCGCCGTTCTACATCCTTGTGTACGTCGAAGACTTGGTCTTTGCCACTGCTGACACTAATGCTCTCGCCCACGTGAAGTTGGAGCTGCAGAAGAGACACACGTACACAGACCTGGGTGAACTGCGCAGCTACCTTGGCTTGCAGATCACCCGGGACAGAGCACGCCGCACCATTACACTGACTCAGTCACACATGGTGCAGCAGGTCCTTCAGCGCTTCGGCTTCACCTGGTCCTCAGCACACGCCACTCCTCTGGCTATAGGTCACTCGCTCTCAGCTCTGCCTTCGGATGATCCGTAGAGCCGAGTGGTCCTTACCCAGAGCTAGTTGGTTGCCTCATGTACCTGATGAATTGCACTCGTCCTGACCTAGCATACCCTCTTGGCCTTCTGGCACGCTACGTGGCTCATGGCAGGCACCGAAAGGTGCACTGGGATGCTGCAAAGAGGGTATTGCGCTACTTGTGTAGTAGATCGGGCATGGGGCTCGTGCTTGGAGGAGGGAGCTCAGTTGTTCTCCCTGGGCACTCTGACGCTTCTTGGGTTGACGACCAGGCTACTCAGCGGTCGTCACAAGGTTACACCTTCAGCCTGGGCTCTGGTTCAGTTTCTTGGCATTCTACTCGCTCGTCTTCTGTAATCAGCTCCAGTTGTGAGGCTGAGATCTATGCCACAGCCATGGCTGAACAGGAGCTACGCTGGCTCACCTACCTGCTGACCGACTTGGGAGAGCGGCCTAGTTCTCCTCCAGTGCTGTACGTCGACAACAAGGCTGCCATTGCTTTGTGTGAGGAGCACAGACTGGAGCACAGAATGAAGCACATCGCACTCCGTTACTTCTTGGCTGAAGAGGTGCAGCAGCGCGGTCAGCTTCGTCTGCGCTACGTGGCCACTCAGGCGAACACCGCTGATATATTCACCAAGGCACTCCAGTCAGGTGATCATCAGCGTTTCTGTACTTTGCTTGGGCTTGTACCCACTTTTCCTCACTTGCTGTAGGCTTTGCCTGTACTGTGATCTCTATATATACATACGTGCCTGTTTGCTTTGCTAGGTTGCAATCACCTTGTTGTTTGTACTGCATATATGCCTCTTCATGTGAACTGGCCCTCAGGCCCTTTGCTTGTGCTCAGAGTGTGTGGTGACGTTGTGATCCACCCTGAGCTTGTTTACCTTTCTTGACTGGTCTTGTGACCCCTAGCTCTCCCCCACTTTGCCTATGGGGGTGTGTCAAAAACTATATATGTGTTATTGCTGTGTAGGCTATAGTGGGTTAGCCTATAGGGGGTACACAACTCTTAGGGTTTCATACTTGTACTCAAATGTTGCCTAGTTCATTCACTTTTCTCATTTTGACAGATGGAAAGCGGAAGAATGGGGCGGGGTGAAGGAAAGCGGGAGAAGGGGGCGGGGTGATGGAAAGTGGGAGAATGGGGCGGGGTGAAGGAATGCGAAAGAAGGGGGCGGAGTGATGGAAAGCGGGAGAATGGGGTGGGGTGATGAAAAGCGGGAGAATGAGGCGGGGTGATGGAAAGCGTGAGAATGGGGCGGGGTGATGGAAAGCGCGAGAATGGGGCGGGGTGATGGAAGGAGGGAGAATGGGGCGGGGTGATGGAAAGCGGGAGAATGGGGTGGGGTGATGGAAAGCGGGAGAATGGGGCGGGGTGATTGAAAGTGGGAGAATGGGGCGGGGTGATGTGATGGAAAGCGGGACAATGGGGCAGGGTGATGGAAAGCGGGAGAACGGGGCGGGGTGATGGAAAGCGGGAGAACGGGGCGGGGTGATGAAAAGCGGGAGAATGTGGCGGGGTGATGGAAAGCGGGAGAATGGGGTGGGTGATCGAAAGCAGAAGAATGGAGCGGGGTGATGGAAAGCGGGAGAATGGGGCGGGGTGATGAAAAGCTTGAGAATGGGGCGGGGTGATGGAAAGCAGGAGAATGGGGCGGGGTGATGGAAAGCGGGAGAATGGGGCAGGGTGATGGAAAGCGGGAGAATGGGGCGGGGTGATGGAAAGCGGGAGAATGGGGCGGGGTGATGGAAAGCGGGAGAATGGGGCGGGGTGATGGAAAGAGGGAGAATGGGACGGGGTGATGGAAAGTGGAAGAATGGGGCAAGGTGATGGAAAGCGAGAGAATGGGGCGGGGTGATGGAAAGCGGGAGAATGGGGCGGGGTGATGGAAAGCGGGAGAATGGGGCGGGTTGATGGAAAGCGGGAGAATGGGGGGGATGATGGAAAGCGGGAGAATGGGGCGGGGTGATGGAAAGCGGGAGAATGGGGCGGGGTGATGGAAGGATGGAGAATGGAGCGAGGTGATGGAAAGCGGAAGAATGGGGCAGGGTGATGGAAAGCGGGAGAATGGGGCGGGGTGATGGAAAGCGGGAGAGTGGGGCGGGGTGATGGAAAGCGGGAGAATGGGGCGGGGTGATGGAAAGTGGGAGAATGGGGCAGGGTGATGGAATGCGAAAGAAGGGGGCAGGGTGATGGAAAGCGGAAGAATGGGGCGGGGTGATGGAAAGCGGGAAAATGGGGCAGGGTGATGGAAAGCGGGAGAATGAGGCGGGGTGATGGAAAGCGTGAGAATGGGGCGGGGTGATGGAAAGCGGGAGAATGGGGCGGAGTGATGGAAGGAGGGAGAATGGGGCGGGGTGACGGAAAGCGGGAGAATGGGGCGGGGTGATGGAAAGCGGGAGAAGGGGGCGGGGTGATGGAAAGCGGGAGAAGGGGGCGGGGTGATGGAAAGCGGGAGAATGGGGTGGGTGATCGAAAGCAGGAGAATGGAGCGGGGTGATGGAAATCGGGAGAATGGGGCGCGGTGATGGAAAGCGGGAGAATGGGGCGGGGTGATGGAAAGAGGGAGAATGGAGCGGGGTGATGGAAAGAGGGAGAATGGAACGGGGTGATGGAAAGCGGGAGAATGGGGCAGGGTGATGGAAAGCGGGAGAATGGGGCGGGGTGATGGAAAGCGGGAGAATGGGGCGGGGTGAAGGAATGCGAAAAAAGGGGGCGGAGTGATGGAAAGCGGGAGAATGGGGTGGGGTGATGAAAAGCGGGAGAATGAGGCGGGGTGATGGAAAGCGTGAGAATGGGGCGGGGTGATGGAAAGCGCGAGAATGGGGCGGGGTGATGGAAGGAGGGAGAATGGGGCGCGGTGATGGAAAGCGGGAGAATGGGGCGGGGTGATGGAAAGCGGGAGAATGGGGCGGGGTGATGGAAAGCGGGAGAATGGGGCAGGGTGATGGAAAGCGGGAGAATGGGGCGGGGTGATGGAAAGCGGGAGAATGGGGCGGGGTGATGGAAAGCGGGAGAATGGGGCGGGGTGATGGAAAGAGGGAGAATGGGACGGGGTGATGGAAAGTGGAAGAATGGGGAAAGGTGATGGAAAGCGAGAGAATGGGGCGGGGTGATGGAAAGCGGGAGAATGGGGCGGGGTGATGGAAAGCGGGAGAATGATGCGGGTTGATGGAAAGCGGGAGAATGGGGGGGATGATGGAAAGCGGGAGAATGGGGCGGGTTGATGGAAAGCGGGAGAATGGGGCGGGGTGATGGAAGGATGGAGAATGGAGCGAGGTGATGGAAAGCGGAAGAATGGGGCGGGGTGATGGAAAGTGGGAGAATGGGGCGGGGTGATGGAATGCGAAAGAAGGGGGCAGGGTGATGGAAAGCGGAAGAATGGGGCGGGGTGATGGAAAGCGGGAAAATGGGGCAGGGTGATGGAAAGAGGGAGAATAGGCGGGGTGATGGAAAGCGTGAGAATGGGGCGGGGTGATGGAAAGCGGGAGAATGGGGCGGAGTGATGGAAGGAGGGAGAATGGGGCGGGGTGACGGAAAGCGGGAGAATGGGGCGGGGTGATGGAAAGCGGGAGAAGGGGGCGGGGTGATGGAAAGCGGGAGAATGGGGCGGGGTGATGGAAAGCGGGAGAAGGGGGCGGGGTGATGAAAAGCGGGAGAAGGGGGCGGGGTGATGGAAAGCGGGAGAATGGGGCGGGGTGATAGAAATCGGGAGAATGGGGCGCGGTGATGGAAAGTGGGAGAATGGGGCGGGGTGATGGAAAGAGGGAGAATGGGGCGGGGTGATGGAAAGAGGGAGAATGGGACGGGGTGATGGAAAGCGGGAGAATGGGGCAGGGTGATGGAAAGCGGGAGAATGGGGCGGGGTGATGGAAAGCGGGAGAATGGGGCGGGGTGATGAAAACCGGGAGAATGGGGCGGGGTGATGGAAAGCAGGTGAATGTGGCGGGGTGATGGAAAGCGGGAGAATGGGGTGGGTGATCGAAAGCGGGAGAATGGGGCGGGGTGATAGAAAGCGGGAGAATGGGGCGGGGTGATGGAAGGGTGAAGAATGGGGCGGGATGATGGAAAGCGGGAGAGGGGTGATGGAAAGCGGGAGAATGGGGCGGGGTGATGGAAAGCGGGAGAATGGGGCGGGGTGATGGAAAGCGGGAGAATGGGGCGGGGTGATGGAAAGCGGGAGAACGGGGCGGGGTGATGGAAAGCGGGAGAATGTGGCGGGGTGATGGAAAGCGGGAGAATGGGGTGGGTGATCGAAAGCGGGAGAATGGGGCGGGGTGATCGAAAGTGGGAGAATGGGGTGGGGTGATGGAATGCTTGAGAATGGGGCGGGGTGATGGAAAGCGGGAGAATGAGGCGGGGTGATAGAAAGTGGGACAATGGGGCGGGGTGATGGAAAGCCGGAGAATGGGGCGGGGTGATGGAAAGCGGGAGAATGGGGCGGGGTGATGGAAAGCTGGAGAATGGGGAGGGGTGATGGAAAGCGGGAGAATGGGGTGGGGTGATGGAAAGCGGGAGAATGGGGCGGGGTGATGGAAAGCGGGAGAATGAGGCGGGGTGATGGAAAGCGGGAGAATGGGGCGGGGTGATGGAAAGCGGGAGAATGAGGCGGGGTGATGAAAAGCCGGAGAATGGGGCGGGGTGATGGAAAGCGGGAGAATGGGGCGGGGTGATGGAAAGCTGGAGAATGGGGAGGGGTGATGGAAAGCGGGAGAATGGGGTGGGGTGATGGAAAGCGGGAGAATGGGGCGGGGTGATGGAAAGCGGGAGAATGAGGCGGGGTGATGGAAAGCGGGAGAATGGGGCGGGGTGATGGAAAGCGGGAGAAGGGGGCGGGGTGATGGAAAGCGGGAGAAGGGGGCGGGGTGATTGAAAGCTTGAGAATGGGGCGGGGTGATGGAAAGCGGGAGAACGGGGCGGGGTGATGGAAAGCTTAAGAATGGGGCAGGGTGATGGAAAGCGGGAGAATGAGGCAGGGTGATGGAAAGCGGGAGAATGGGGCAGGGTGATG